TTTTTTGTTGTTGGTGTTTGGTTGTTTCATTCTTATAACTCCATATTATGTGATACTTTCTGTCTTCATGTTTTTCTTGTATTGAATAGTCAGCCAATATCTTTAAGCAGAAGACTACTTGAAATGTATTCTGCCATAGAAGTTCTTAATTTAAATGTTTTACTAGAGAAAAGATGAACATGATATATTCAGCTAAGAATAAAATGAAAGTTTCAGTGAACAATAGTCATATAATCACTATGTAATCGGTATTCCTTTATTGAACATTAAAAAGCACTGAAATTCAAGAAATTTTTATATATTTGAAGAAGTTGAATTAGTAGTTTACTTCGAGATCATATCATATCATACCTATACTCATCTGTTTCGACGAGTTGATGTAAATATCGATATTGTTGAAGTATTAGAAGAGCAGCAGGCGATGTATATTAGTTTATTATCGAAAATCAGTTTAGAATAAGGATGAATAAAGCTATTAAGAAAATTAAGGCTCAACATCTTAAAGGAAACAATCTCAAAGAAGTCAGTCTGATAATTAGTTATGCAAGAAGCTCAAGGTAGTTGGCTATGGACCTGCTACGAGTCTTGTTCAAATAGTTGTAGAGATTGTTGATGAATTTCAATCTCATTTTACTCAAACAGTGAGTAGCCTGACGCTTGCATCTTTTGATTGACTATTTTCTGACGTTGAAATACCGAGAATGACTGAAATAATGAGAGAGACAGTGCAGGTTCATAGACTTTGCTTCCGATAGGTAGAAATATCTCGGGCATCATAAAACTTGACATTCTCCAACAAGACAACATGTTGATTTCGACGTGTATTAACTGTCTCTTCGCTTTATGTTTCTCATCGCATTTCTCGTTATTGCCACTTTACTCAGCACATCTTTCTCGCATTGATTTTTAGCCTCGTGAGAATTAGAGGTCTATCTATTCATTGAAAATCTAGAAGGGAAAAACCGATAGTTATCAGCAAGAGATTAACAATCGAAAATAAAAAGAAAACGACGATCTCCGTAAGAACTTTAGTTCTTCTTTTTCGCTCGGTTTTATATTGTCTTCAGTATAAAATTTGGTACAAAATACTCGTCTATCACTGAAAGATTTGAAGTTGACGACGAAAGTCGACTCGTTTCTCATCGCTGTGCAGGTGTTTTGTGATATTATTCTTTGCTTCACTTTCCCATGCCTATCTGCTTCTATACTGATTTCATGGGCCATGTGTGTATGTTTTGCTTATCTTACTTCATACATACATCATCAGGCTCTCTACACATAAAGAATGTCGTACATCAAGCAAATAAACGTTCTATCCTGTTATTAAGATGAGAGTGAGTGTGGTCTCCTTTCGCAGGTTTGGTTAAAGTTTGATGTCTATCAATAGCGCTGTGATGTTGACTAGATGAGACGGAAACGTTCTAAAACTATTTCAAAAACACTTCCCATATAGCACTTATATGCTTTGATTTGTGCTCGAAGAGGACAGTTATTCTTTATAATTCATTGAAAACATTGGCTTCTTAGACGATATGTGAGACATTGTAATCATACCGATCTTGATTAAACTCAAGTTTTCTTTTTTATAACAGATGTTTTTCATTATTGAATCAAAAAGATAAATGACTTTGGATATTTCGTTTGAAATTTTTCTTCCTTTCAAAGCACTGCACAACATTTAAGAATACAATGATCTATGATAGAGAAAAATGTTATATATTCATCGTAATCAAAAAGTTTCATTGTCGATCGTGAATATGCATCATTGTTCTCTGCTATGGATCTTCATATCATGAATTTTCATGTACTACTATGAGAAGAGAAGACAAATGCGGAAAAACATCCATAGTCATTTATCTTTTGAATTAAAAAGAATGAAAATCTACTATCATAGTTTATTATTTGGTTTAATCATGTTACCTTCTATTGTGAAGTGTCAGATATCCATGTGATGCTTAATGATGAGATTTAGAATGGTTTTTTGGTTATACTGTTGATTGAAAAAGTCTTCTGAAGCATGAAATTGTTAGTAGTTTCAAATTTTGAGAGGATTTCACATATATATTTTATTAAAAACTAGAGATTTTGGAAGGGATCCATTATTTTCAAATTACAATATAAGAAGACTGTCAGAATTTCTTTCTATGGAATCAAATGAAAAAAATATGTCATTGAAAATTACATTCTTAATCGATATAATTCTAATGTCAGACTTTTTGATTAGTACACTCAAGAATATATTTTAACGTATTCAGATAGTACATATCTATTTAATTCGATTATTCTCTGTACAATATTATCAATAGTAGAGAGATAAGAACACGGAAAATTATAAGTTTGATCTAAAGATTCCCAAAATTTGAAGCGTTTCTAATCCCAAAAGAATATTAACTGTGAGATAGAAAGAAAAAGATTATGCACAATGACAGAATTATTATTGTTTTCTTCTATAGAATTTAAGATGCACAAACAATATTATTATTTTATCATCCATATAATAGTTATACTATATTCGATGATTTCTTTGGTTTCAACATTTAATTGTCGACTTTATGGAATAGATCAATCATCTATAGAAACAAAATTGATTGAAATAAATAATTCATCATCCTACAATCCTATTTTAAATTTAGGCCGTTCAACATTTTCTGGTAAAGCAACCTCGACAAAAATTGACAATCAAAACTATGTTAGTACATATCATAATTTCGATAGTTTAGGTGTACCCCATTACTTTCTATTAATAATTGATATTGATTTAAAATCAATCAAACTTAATTTAACATTAAATGAAAAATATGGTTCTGGATCATTTTGGCAAATAGCAGCAATTAATGATAATGATATTATTGGTATAAGAGAAAGTTTCCATCCAGGATCAACATTAGAAGTAGCTAAAATTAATCAAACAAATGGTCTTATGAAAACGATTGGAACATATCCATATGGTTCATATAGTTTAGTTATGACATATGCATCTAAACGTCGATTATATTATAATATAATTGAGTCAACATTGTATGCTGTCAATGTTGATATAGGAAATCTGGTTGTTAATATACAAATACCAAATGATTATTTAATATATGCACTAGACTATGATTCTATTAATGATCGTTTAATTGCTCTAGTGTATTCTTCGTCAATTACAAACGGTTGGATTTTAACTCAAATGATAATAACAACAGAAAAAGAAATACAATTCGATCGTATTGGTAAAACAGAAATTCCATTTGAGAAATATCTATGGACAACAACGTATACAATAAATTCAAACGAACATTCATGGATGACAATATGGAGTGTTAAAAATTCAAATGCTAGTATTTTTATCTTATTTAATATCGATACTGGAGAAATAATCGAAAAATGGGAAATAAGTTCAAAGAATCTTGGTAATTTAGTTTGTTTCGATTAAATTGATCATTCATTTCTATCTTTGATTGAAGTATGCTATAGTATTTTTTTTCTATCAATGATTCTTTTGTCAAAATGAATACATGTTTCAACGATCATTGAGTAACAGCGAGAAACAATGCAATGTCACTAAGTCTTTCCGCTCAAAACTAATATCAAAAGAAGAAAAAAACAACGACATCAGAAAGGTTTCTTCTATTCTCCTGGTATTTGCTTATAACGATTCAAGGCGAACTCTTCTCCATTAGGATCAATTGTATTGAATATTGAAACTTGATGATTGTGACAGTATTGTGTATTCCATAAAATGAATTGAATAGTATCGAACAAATTCACGAAGCAAAGTCTTAAATTTTAGAGAACACTAGAGAGTGTGGGTGTGGGTATGAGTCTCGGTCTCGACCTTCTATTTACGTCCACACCCATCAGAATGGTGTAGTTTTAACAGCGTTGTATTTTATTTAAACTTGGCGTTTCAATAGTTTTATTATCATTTTCAAGACAGATACGAATGGGTAAATATACAAAAAGACAAGGTTTATATAGAGTGCTGACGACTATGAAGATGTGTGAGTCTTATCTTCATCCGCACTCTAATATGGACATTGGTATCGATTTAAAATTATTTCGGTAGATATGCTAGTCATATTTTCTTAAAGTTGTATAATTATATGGAAGAGTGAATGTAGATTTGCAATAAGTTGAATACTCATCATCTCAGATAACAAATTGATTCTAATAGATTGAAACTATAAAATTCCAATATTATCAAATAAATTTTCGATCGATGTACATTATAATAAAGATGAATCATTGATAGATCAAGCACTGTAAAAAAGATCATACTACATATATTAAACAATTAATTAAAAAACGAAATTCTGCAAATAAAATTAATTATTATTCATAAACAACATTTAGTTAATAAAATTCTTACTTGAAAATCATGCTAAATATGAATATTCAAAGTAGTGAGTGAACAAATGATTGTTTCACGTAATGTAATTTCAAATGAAATTTCTGATAAATTCGACATCAAACTTTCACTTGAAAATAATACTGATCAACATATAAAAGAAAAAAAAAGGTTCTTAGCTGAAATATGGAATACACATATCTTCATTACCTTCATTATACTAATGCACAAATACGCAAAGTGTAAAATCTGGAAAAGACTATCAACAGAAGATTTTGTTTTCATTTTTTGACTGAAGTTCTTTGTTTTTATTTGTCTTGTGTTATTCGCATGGTATTTCTTTTCTTTTCTTTTTTATTTTCATTTTCGTAATTTATTATTATTAACCTAACCATGAATTTAATAGACAAATAAACAACTTAATTCGTTCATACTTTTGCGGCATAAACAAGATTAATATATATCAATCTCGTACTTGATTTTTATGACAACTTTAATTATAAAGGGAGTATCTTCCTCAAAAAATCCAAATTTTTGAAAAAAAAAACTCGAAGTTCAGTTTTTGTCATAGGAAAATGGAGCTAAACTTCCTCTTTCCGAATCTAAATAGATTTTCTCAAAATGACTAAATTTTAACAGACTTTCGAAGCAAACTCTGATCCTACTATCGTTTTGTTTTCGAAAATTTCACGGTTTTTAAAAACTTTTCAGTTTTGACAAAGCTGTCTTTTTATTTGTATTACCATTGAATAAATCATTCTTTTTATTTAAATACGAGGATGGGTGAAGAGCGCTTCCATTGTACCGTTTGGCTTGGGACAGAAAAATGCTTAGAAGTCGAGTTCTTCTCAACCGATTTTCATAATTTTTTTTTGATTTGTTGGCCTAAAGATGGCCATTCACTTCTGAAAAAAACAACGTTCCACCTGTTTTAGTTTCTGAGAAATCATACTAACGATGTTAAATATTAGCTTTCTAATGCCACCTGGCGAATGAAAATCAATTTTTTTTATTACATTGCGATTTTTTAAAATTTTTTATTTGTAGCTAGAATTGTAGAACTCATGAAGAACTTTCAGAATATGCCATTGGTTTCAGCTCTAGACAGAGTTTTATGAATGAAAAACTATCAATAAGAGGCGTTAAGACACTTTTCGTTTTTGTGTAGATCGAGATTAAAATCATTAGCTTTCAATTTGGAGAAATTTGTTTGGAACAAATTTTATCGCATATGAAAGAGAGACGGGGGGAAAATAATTTAACAAGTAAATAACATTTGTTTTATAAATCTTATTAATACAACTATTTGAACCGAATATAAAAAAATATCATATTCACACTAAATGTAGATCGAGATTTTAAATTTTATTATGTCTATAACTCAATGAAAACTAAATCGTTTGCGACCAAAATTTGATCCTTTTTTCGTCTCATAGAGCAGAGTAATATCCTAAAAAATCACGCAAAAATTTTTCTCCGTTCGAAAGAAAATTCAGTTTTACTAAGGACATGTAGATCGAGATTTAAATCATCGAAACTTTCCTTAAACAGACTTTATTTAAATAACCTGAATTGAGTATCTAAGAGAAATATAAGGGAAAAAAATTGACAAATAAAATAGTTTTCCTAACAAAGTATTAAGTGACTTTAGTGGGAGTAATTATACACTAAAATTGCTGGATATATGGATACAGTATACAGAAATTGGATGTAATATCGTGAATCTCCACCGCTCCATAGGAAAGTGTAGGGAAAATATCATTTTCATATACAATCGACATTACTCTATCAAATGCTACACTTAGTTTGTTTCTATCATGAAATTAATTTTTTTCGATTTTTTTTTCCAAACGGTACAATGGGCGCGCTCTTCACCCGGGTATCGGTCTGGGTGGGTGTGGAAAAAGAGCAGAACCACATCCGCACCCACATCCTATACCCTTTTTGAAAAATACTTTTTATCTTAGGAAGATTTTTCGAAATTCAACTTTCAATGAACTTCAATGAAAGAATTTTTTGTGTTCTTTCTTTGTTTTTCTACCAAAGAACAAAGACGAATATGTCACATCTTCTAAAATATGAATTTACTTTGAAAACTAATAATTAATTATATTGAGAATTATTTTTTTTTTATCAACTTAGAAAAAAAGTTGTCTGATATTTACAATCATGTAACTTTCATCTCTACCTGAACGAAATAAAAATACGATACCATTTTACGAATAATCGTACTGTGATAGATGTCTATTATCAGATTTTGTCATAGCTACCCAATTAAATTTATTTTTATCAACTATTCTCTCTTATCGCATGATCGATGTTAGTGTGAATGTGGATTTACTTTTTCCTAGAGACTCATACCGTATAATTTTAATTTCAGTAAGAATAGTCCTATCGAAATAGAAAACGAAAACATATGTTAGTTTTATTCTAAATAACTATTCGAATACAGATTGAAGCTGGTTGCTACATAACATGATACAAAATCATAACTGCAATGAGGTCGCTATTGAAATTATGAGATAAAGTTCTAATGAGAAATCAGAACAAGTTTCTCATATTGGGTGTGAATGTTGATTTTCTCTTCCCCCACGCGCACTCACAGATCTACATCCTCTTGAAGGATTCCGATTCTTCGTAGCCGATAAAAAATAAACTCTGATTTTTTTTTTGTGTTGTCAATCAATCCCTCGTATGGTAACAATCGCAACAAAGTATTCGAAATTTCTTTTTTATTCAATTTTTTTTTGAGATTATTTGACATTACTCAAAGAACATACTATTCATTTCGACGTTTTCCCCTTCCACATTTTCCTTTTGGATATTTTCTTTGTTTCATTTTTTTTCCTACATTTTTCTCTTTCTACGTTTTCCATCAAGACCAATCACATTATACAGTTAAAGTAATATTCACTTCATAGGACATTTGATTTTTATTCAATGAATAAAATAGCATTTATCTTGTCATATGAAGAATAATATAAAATTTGTCAAACAATTTTTAAGATAAAGCCAATTAGAACAAAAATACAACGAACAATCGAATCAGTTACATGGATACATTTCACATGTGTCATTAAACACGTCGAATAAGTAATCTCACTCGTCTAATGAATGAAAGAACACGCCTGTTCTGTTTTTTTTCTTCTAAAGAAGAATTGTTTATAAGTAGGAGAAAAATAGTCTAGTCATAAAGTAGATGAAACATTGATTTTACATTTTCACATAAACAAGTTTAACCATGTGGAAAATTCAGATCGGTGAAAAATGTACAGGGTATTCACTAAAAGTTAATGGAGGATACAATAACTCAGTCATTGTTAATGGATTAAGTTTACCACCAGGTTCGTACGGCAATTGTACAGATGATTCTCCTCTTATGGTCATCTTGTCTCTTATTTTCTTATTTGGTATCATCGTTATCATCATCGGATGTTGTTGTTGTTGTTGTTGTTCCTGTCGACGTCGTCAAGCAAATTTGTGCAAAATTAATCAGGTATAATCAACAACAACTTGAAGAAAAAACAAATAATTATGCTTGATACTTATGAAGATGAAAATCTTATTTTATTTCATTTGTAAATATTTTCACTTGTTTTTTTTTTGAAATAAAGAAGAATGAACATATGTGAATAATTATATACGTTATGAAGGATGAATAGTTTCCTTTGGACATAAAAATCGATTGGCCATTCGTCGTTGCATTCAGAAAAATATAGTATTCTAAGAAGTAAATAGTATAGGACTGAAAACATTGAATTCTTGAATGATGAAATATACATATCATTTTTAAGAATAGTAGATGCTTTATGTATTTTTTTTACGAAAATATTGAAATCGTTAATCAAAAACGCTAGTACATAAAATTAGTAAGATGTAAAACACATCAAGGAATTTGCAAGCAACGAGTTTATTGATAAAAAAAAAATTAAGATTATATTTGATGTGTCGATGCTTTGCTATTGTCTCTGGAATAAATATGTTTTGATAAAACGTTCATTTTTCGACTAAATTTCGGCACAGTTTGATTGCTATGGTCTGTTTGAAAAGAAAATATTTTCTGAAGAAGTGCTGTCATATAATCA